TATTTACTGTCACTCATCTTCTATTTCTTCAAATCATTTATCACTCGCTCAATATTGATCAGGCATTTATGTCTACCCTATATGTGTGTATATATTGTCATATACATATATAAAATAATCAAAACGTGTATATATGTGTGCAATTATTTGTATTTGTTGTTTTAGTTTATCTGTTGTAATTAATTTATCTACTCTAATTAGTTTATTTATTGTTTCAGAATTAAATTTCTTTTTACGCAAACGATAAATAAAAAATGTATAGCTCTTATATAATATAATAATAATTTAAGAATTAATCGAGAGGTAAGAGTGAGAATAAAGCGTCTTTCAATTTCAGTTTTAGCATCATTTACATCATCAATATTGCGAATATCGAGATTTTCTTATCTCTATTATTTGAGTCTCCACAGCCTTGCTTATCAAGATCTTCACTCTTTTCAAGAGCCCTCTCTTATTTTCGATTATTTACAATCATATAATTATTAATACCTTTTCATTTATTTATTAAATAGAAAATATTTTAATAAATCAAGAAAATTTTTACTGTAATAATATACAAGTCATAAACAATTTTCAAACAAATTTCTCGAAAACTATAAATAAGGACAGTGACAAAAAAAAATTTTTTTTTTTTTAATTGATTTGTTTTAACGTTTAATTAGAGAGATTTAATGTGTGATATATACGTGTGTGAATGGATATTTAAGACTTCTCTAAGATTTATTGGCCTTCTTATGCTATTTAAGCTGTCTGAATTCTTGTGATATCGTTAATTTTATGTCAACCACATACGTGTTAATTCAACATCTCTGAAATCGTGAAATCTTGAATTGTTTATGTCGAAGCAAAATCTTAATTACAGAATAATTACGAATCCAGACAACACACAATATTTATGATAGATATTTTTTACTATTCATTTTTTGAAATATTATATAAATATTTTATACATATTTTGTATACATTAAGAAAAGAAATCATAAAAACTTTATTATAAATATATTATGATATATTATTAATTATTATTATAAATATAAATAT